ATAAGCAGCTCCTATATTCAGCCGGCTGCCGGAAGAATCCCCTGACTGAGAAGCTTGGGACTTGACTCGAACAAGCCTAAGCGGCCAGGGGGGGTCAAAAGTGAAATATGTACCTTGGTTTTTGGGCTGAGGGGTGAGACCACCCCCAGCCGCATTTAAGCCGGGTGCAACACCCGGTTAGAGGGAACCTCAGCTTCCCTAGATCCGGCCTCAGCCGGCCCTGAGCCTAAGCCCAGATCGCGTAGACTTTTGCCTGCGGACGTAGGCCTCTCAGGAGCCGGCTGTTTTCCAGCTGAGGTAGTGACAGGGGTAGGCGGAACCCTCCCCCTCTGTGAAGATGGTTGGGCAGGCTCCTCTCCCGGTCTCTTTAGTATGTTCCTTAGAGACCGAGGGACGTTTTGGCTCCCTGACTGCAAAACAAAGCAAACCAACCGGTTATTATCAAGATGGGTTACAAGGCATACATGCGGTAAAATATCAGCCGATGCTTACCCCGTCACCTTTGGCCGCAAGTTAGGCCTTTTTCTTCTCAAGCTGCTCCTTCCTTATTTCAGCGGCTGACTTAGCCGACGTTTTTTCGGGAGGAGTCATCTCGAGTCCTTTCTCTGCAAATACAAAAGAAAATAAGTTAGAGCATTCAAACACCATATAGGCGGAATAATACGCCGGTTAAGCAATGAACCTACGTTTGCTCCAAAAAGTGCTAAGACCACAGGCGGAAAGGAACGCCTCGTCTTTGAACCAGTCCGGATGAGGGACCCAAAACTTGGGGACAATAACTTGTGTCCCATCATCCAGTGGCATTGTAGTCTTCTTAAAAAGCCTCGGCTCCATAATTGCATCCCAAGACCTCGCCGGTATCTTGGGGAGGGCGCATTTCTTTCCCAATAGATCCGGGTTCTTATTGTACCGGCGCAGTCGATTGTTCACAGCCGGAGAAGGAGAAGAGACCATATAGAATTTGCTCTTCCAGCTGGTCCATTTTGATGGCTTCTCCAAAGTCATCATATACTCTGGATGCGTGGTCAATATGTACCACGCATTCCAGCCGCCTAGGGCACGGCTTAGATAGTGCATGTGCGCAAACGCCTCCCAGCTAGGCGTCACGTCCTGCATCTCGCAGGCGGCAATGTATCCCAAAATATTCACCCAAGAGTTGGGTGTGAGCTGCTAGACGCCAAGGTCCTAACCTTTTAGAATGTCCTTGATTGTGTTGTGGAGTGGGAACTAGAGGCCGGCTTTGAATGCTGCCTCATAGCAGCCGAAGTAATTATCGGCGTGATCTAAGTCGTCATCCCAAACGACGGCAGCATCAGCCAAAGGAACAATTACCTCCCATCCGGCGCCCACCGGACGCTTCTCCAAAAAAGCCGGGAGGGTTGCATTTAAGGTCATAACATCTCGGGCGCTCATGTGCGCCTCTGTTGGATTATTTGCTGATGGCCAGTTATCTTGAGGGGCATCCTGCGTCATTGTAGACTCAGTTGAGTCAGATTGCTGGACGGTTTCCTCACTGCCTGAGCTCCCGGACTCTTCTAGGATCTCATCTCCGGGCGTGCTAGGTACGCCCGGTTGGTCAAAAGGAGCATCCTCAATCGGAGTTCCGGCTGAATTATCTGATTGGTACTCGGGGTCAACAGTCGTTTTCCTTGTCCAAGCCATTCTGCCCTGCACATGAACAGAGACGGTCGGATTTGTAGAAGAATAAGGGTGGTCCAAACACCCCCAGACGGCATCCCAAGTCCTAGACTCAGCCGTATCCGGTGAACGGTTGACATCTGCCCTAGGTTGTGCCGTGTGTGTGTTGGGAGAGTCCATTATTCTCTAACCTATACAACCGGGAAAAACTCAAAAAGTTGCGAAGGGCAGAGACGGTACCTTGAAGTTGTGAAGAAGTTTGTAGAAGACTTGACCGTTATCTCAAAATGTGGCTTGAAGATGCCACAGGCGGAAGAGTCCGGCCGTGTATGTTTTGAAAGCTGAAATACAAAACAAAGAAGTCAGACGTTTGCAAAGAAAATCACTCAAAGATACCACAGACGGAAGGGTCCGACTGTGGTTGTTTAGAAAGTTATAAAGAAAGCAGATGGTCATGCATTTTGAAAGAAAATTGCTTAAAGATACCCCAGACGGTATCTATAAAATGCAGTTTTTGAAGATTGCTCAAAGGTACCCTAGACGGTATCAATTAGGGATGGCAATATTAAGTGGATATCCACAAACCCGCTCCACCCGCTATAAATATATGGACGAATACCCGAATTAAATGGATGAAAAGCGGGTGACGGATGAAGCGGGTGACGGATCGGATCGAATGTGGATGATACTTTTTTCATCCGCTAACCATCCACCCACCCATTTAACATATATTAGATTTTTTAATTTAAGAATTTTAATAATAAAATATGAAATGTGCAAGAAAATTACTTATTTTTTATGTTGCAAATTAATTTTTCAAACATATATTGTTATTGTTTCATTTTTAATTAATAAAATAAAAAAAATTATTGTACAAATAACCGAATTTAGAGTTTATGTGAGTTTTTTTTCCATTTTAATACTTATCCATTAATCATCCACTCCACCCGTTTCATCCGCGGATGATGGACGGACGGATATGGATGATGGGTGAAGCGGATGATGGATGGATATGGATGGAGCGATTAAAGTAATGGATGGATGCGGGTGAAGCTCCACCCGATCCGAATCCGATCCATTGCCATCTCTAGTATCAATAGAATGTTGTTTTTGAAGACTGCTCAAAGATACCCTAGATGGTATCTATGGGATGCATTTTTTGAAGATTGCTCCAAGATACCCCAGACGGTATAAGACCGACTGAGGGTCCATAACATGTAGTTTTTAAGGAAAATTGCTCAAAAGTACCCCAGACGGCAAAAGCCCGGCTGTGGGCCTTTTATATGTAATTTTTGAAGACAACTCCAAGATGCCCCAGATGGCACAAGACCGGGTGAGGATCTTATGAATGCAAATCAAGAAAGAAATTGCTTGAAGATGCCCCATGCGGTATAAAGACCGGCTGTAGGTCTATAGAAAGCAGATTATGAAGAAGATTGCTAAAAAATGCCCCAGACGGAATATTTCCGGCTGTGGGTCTGTTGAATGCAATTTTTGAAGACAATTGTTTGAAGATGCCCCAGACGGAATATTTTCGACTGTGGGTCTATTGAATGCAATTTTTGAAGACAATTGTTTGAAGATGCCCCAGGCGGTATATTACCGGTTGTGGGTCTATTGAATGCAATGTGTGAAAGAAATTGCTTAAAATTGCCCCAGACGGTGTAAGACCGGATGTGGTTCTATTGAAATCAAGAAGAGGAAAATGATTAAGTCAGACGGTACCTTAGAGAGGATCAAAGAAGTACTCAACCAGTATCCGGAGGCGTCTGAAGGAAGAAGCTGGTTGCACGAAAGAGCAGCCGGTGTTAGAGCTTTTTTCTCTCAAGTAATTTTTTGTGAAAATTTGCAAAGTAACAAATGAGAGGAGGGGGTCTCCAATTTATAGGAGGGGGCAGAAGGCGAACCGTCACCTCCCCCTCCAATTCAAATTCGAATTAAAAAAAAATTAAAGAAAATGGAGGGAAGGAGACGAACCGTCACCTTCCCAGAATGTGACACGTGTCACAGGCGCCACGTGGCAAGCCACGTCACACATGTGAGGGGCAAATGTTTGGGTTAAAAACCCTATGCCACGTGGCCCAATAGCAAGCTGACACGTGGCAGCCCTTGAAAGGCCCAATGGGATCCAATCGGATGCTAACACGTGGCATTGTAACCCTAATGGGGGAGTAGATCTTCATCTGCTATAAATAGAGGAAATTCCTCATTTATTACACATTCACAAATATACACAAATACAAACACAAAAAATCGAGCAATATTAATTGCGGAATCTCTCTAAATCAGAGAGAAAAACCCATTTACTTTCCGCACTTTTCTACATCCGGAGACATACTAACTTGATCGTCGGAGGCGGAACTCCACCCAGCCGGAGTTTCATGGTTTTGCAGGTACAGACGGTCGGCGCGCATTCCCAGAATTGTAACTCTCCCGAGGGACTCCAAAAACCCCAAAACAATATTAGTACGGAGTATCTACCAATTAAGCTATGATTGGCTTAGTGGTAAGGATGACATCTTCCAACTTTGAAGTCGGGTTAGTAGTTCAATTTCTAATTGGGGTAGTTTAAAAGTGAATATCTGAGTATTTATTTGTTTTACATCACAAAAAGAGCTCGATGAGTTTTTAGCACCTTAAAATAAAACTTTTATCATATTACCATTTAAAAAATTACTATTTGGATTCCACTACCACATAAATAACTTCATGCAAGAATACGTTAATAGGGCTCACCTTATCCGACACCTCATCTGCTGCTTAAACTACACCATACCACATTACTTGCTTCCCTCCATCAAGCATAGCCGTACCCCATCTCCCTTTCTAGCGCACTCCTTGCCACTACCACAACATCACCTTACCAAGCACCAAAACACAACAATCTAAGCAGCGGATCCAACAACACCACCTTCAACTTCTCCACTCACACCACATCGTCATCATCTCCCTTTCATCACCATTACAAGTTGCCATCCCATTATTGCTATCGCTCCTCTTCCCTCATTGTCACCCACAACAAACAAACACAACAGCAGCTCAGGCGACACCAACAAGGAATTCTTTTATAAAATTATGTGTAGGCGTGTAGCAGTGTAGGTCTTAGACGACACGGGAGTTTACATTATACATTTAACTCCATTTCCTAGCACATATTTTACCCTTCAATTTATTAAAAAAAAAATCTTTTACAAGAATAGGTGTAGGTTTTAGACAACATGTGATTTAAGTTAGCTTAACACCTTAACTCATTGAGATGTTGGGCCAAGATCAAGTCAACTTGAGTCGAGTTTGAGTTGCTGGCGAGTAGACACATCCATCGCCACAAATTGTCAACCAATCACCTAGTCTGAGTCATTTTTAGAGAGTTGACCGTTTATAAACATAGAAATTAGTACGAGAGTCTCAATTCTCAAAATCCAATTCTTCATCTTCTTCTGGTATCGCAAAATTCAGGCGATAATGGATCGAATTCAGCTTCTTCTAGTCGGACTTCCTCTGTTCCTGTTTTCCACTGATATCTTCAACCTCTTTCTCTCTTCTCCTCCTCCCAAACCCTCTTCTCATCATCATCACCATCACCATCATCAACAACATATTGTTAAACCCTCTTCCCCAATTCAACAAACCCTAGATTTCCCATCTCAGGTTTGATTTTCATTGGTTTTTGACGATTTTTTTAGAATCTTTATTCAATTTGTTTGATTGCTGATATATGTTTATTTGTTGCAGCAATCGAATGCTCTGGGTTATGGACATACTGTCGCTATCGATTTCTGCTCCTCCTGCTCTTACAAGTAATTAATTCTCTTTTCCTACGTTTTTTTTGTTTTGTTTGGGATTAAAAAATTGATGTAATTTTGGATTAAGGCTCGGAATTTTGAAAGTGCTTAGTCAATTTTGTTTATGATTGATTTATAGAGCTAGATTTTATTTGGGTTTTTGATATTATATTGATAGCTGTTTGCATTTGGCAGTGGGTTTCAGTTGTAATTAGGAATGATTGTAGAGGTTGGAGGAGGAAGACTGACATGGACATACCGTGAGTTTGGGATGAATTTTCTTACTGTGAAACTTAGGTGATTATTATGCATTTATAGGTGATTTTTAATGTTGGGAAATCGCTCATCTGATGCAAGGAAGTGTACTTTTCTGAAACTTGGGATACGGATTGAGATTTGTAGGGTTATTGCAACTTGTGATGGTATAGTTGTCGCTTGATTCTTCTTAATTAGATTAGATTCCTTAGGTGCTGAATGCAGTGTTTGGATACATCACAGCATCTGTGATCCCGTGGAACCAAATTCATTGGTGTTGCAGACAAATAGTGACGTTTAATATTTCTTATTTTAGTGTGAATAATATTTGGGGGTCAGGGAGCTTTTCTTGTTCTTCGTGATGTATTAGGTATTCAGACTTTGGTGTGTACCTATTACATGAGAGTTCAGTGAGGGTTAAGTGATACCCTATTACACTTAAGCGGAAGTACCTCCTCTTCCCCTATCAGGTTGTGAGTATTCTTTATATCTGGAAAACTAATTACCTTATGAATAACCACTCCATCTGTAAAAAAAATACCAATTATAGTTCTTGATGCAAGTGATTTGCTTACCTTTCAAGCTGTTAGTAATTTGATTGCATTTTCTTGGACTTGTGGTTGCAAGTATTCATATCTACTCTAATTCTTTAGTTCTCAAACTCAACATTTTGAGTGTTTAATATACAGACGTGTTGCCTTTTTTAAATGACTTAGTGACTTAGTGTTGCCTTAAGTGATATGTACAGCCTATTTAAATACATGTTCAAGGTACATCATATCTAAATGAAAATTTGTGTTGCAAATTTGTTGATCTGAGCCCAAAGTTCATTGACCTGTGCATTCATTATGAACTTCAAACAAATTGAAGTATAATTACATGCTCCACAACTTAAGAAATTGGAGCAATGAAGTATTTTCAGCAAAATTGAGTTTTTCTATTGTCGGTGGAGGCATTGTGTAACAAGAGAGCAACTTAACTGTTATGTAAGCTAAATTAAAGGACTGTTATTATGTGGACGAATAATTAAAAGTTTGCTTCATTTAGCTGCAACATAAGATGAATTCATATTCTGATATCAAGATATGTTTTGTATGTAATTGAATATAATTAGGTTAATCTTCAGATTTAGTAGTTGCTTTAAATTGAGGTTTGCAAGTTGTAACTGCTCATATGCTCTACTGTCTTTTCTTTTGTCGGTTATTGGGGTTCATAATCTGTTTGAAGTCATTATAGAACAGAAGAGTGAATCAGCTACAAGCAATATCATTAGTGATAAACTTGAGTTGTGAAAAGGATGATTTTTTTTTTTCTTAATTTATTGTTGTGGGGGGGGGGGGGGGTTTAGGGATGATCATTTTGATCATTAATGTAGAAGGACTTGAACATTATTTTGGTACGTCCTAGCTAATTAGAAAAAAAAAGGAAAAATGGAAAAGAATAATCCCACCTTTGGTCGGTCTTCCGAAAACAATCCCACCTTTAATTATTCCAGATTAAATCTCACCTTTAACACCAATCTTTTTTTAACAGGCTATGACCTGTTTTGTTGAGTTGACAACCAGTTAGAGGAGGTGACTTAACACGTGTCACTTTTTAATTGGCTATTTTAATAATAATTAAAGAAAAAAAAAACTCTAAGCTTTCCCTTTCATTTCCTTTTCCTCTTCCTCTGCCCGCCGAAGCTATAGCCTCCCCACATGGCAACCACCCCCCCTTTCCCGCCGGCCTGACTAGCCCTAGCCCCAGCCCTAGCCCTAGCCCCAACCCCACCCCCTTCCCTTTCCCCTTTCCTCTTTTTCACCGAAACAATCTCACCCCTTTTCCTTCCTTTTTCTCCATTGAAGTGTACTCTGAGTTCTCCATTAAAGCACCTTCTAAGCTATCTCTCCCCCATTAAAGCAACTTGTAAGGTAGCACCGTAGCGTTGCATGTATTTTTTATTAAAAATTAAGGGTTTATTGTCAATTAATTTTTGATTTGTGTCAATTTAATTGTTGTTGTTGGACTACGATGGTGATGATGATTTGGCTTGTGGGCTAGCATTGGTTGAGGGCAGGTTGTGGGGTGAGGTTTTTGGGTGAGGATGGTGACATCGATGTATGTTGTTATGGGGAAATGCAAGGTGCAAATGCCGCATTGCCGCTCTTTATTACAAATGCTGTTCTTTCTTCCATTAATTTCCCACTATTTAAACCATTTTACTCTACCATGATTGTATAATTCATACTATGATTTCCTTTTTGTTTTACTCAATTTTTTTTTTCTTTTTGCTTGTTAGCTTGTGACTGGTTTCTTATTTTTGGAGAAATTGTTTTGTCTTTTGGTTGTTGGGATGTTGTTGCTTGAAAGGAGGTGAGTTGCAGGTGGGGTGGTGGTGATTGGAGGCTAGCATTGGTTGAAGGAGGGATGGTGGTTTTGGTGGTGGTGGGTTTGCCTTGATTGGCCATTGGTGTTTTTAAGGGTGGCAACGGTGGATGTGGCATTAGCAGTGGCAATGAGGTGGTGATTGTGAAGAGGAGAGATATTTAAGAAAAAAGAAAAAAAAAAAAAATTAACCTGTAAAATAGGTAACTGGTTAAAAGGCTTGTTAAAAGAAGATTGGTGTTAAAGGTGGGATTATTTCTGGAATAATTGAAGGTGGGATTGCTTTCGGAAGACCGACCAAAGGTGGGATTATTCTTTTCCATTTTTTCAAAAGAAAATCATTTGTGCAAAATATTTATTGCTGGTTGAATCCATTTGCTTCAATGTCATAATTTTTTATCCTGAATTATATGTTAATTTTCCAATATCAACCTTCAAAAGCTCTAAATTCATTCAACAGTATCTAATCTCACTACTGTGGGTGTAATTGGAAATTCTAATCCATAATTTTGAACTTAAAAGATTAATTTCTCTCACAAATAAGATTTTTGGGTGTTGATGATCTGTCAACCATGTATTAAGGCCATACTACATTACCTTACAGTCAAGATACCATGTGCAATAACTTTTTAATTGACAAACTTAAAAATTTATGTGTCAATAAAATCTAACTTAACTCCTTCTATACAATGGCCTAAGTAATAGGGACCTAAAATTTTGGACTGCTGATAGGAGCATACTTGACTCTTAAAATCCTTTAATTTCTTTCCGTACAAGTGCACCACTTGACAAGAGTATCCTATACACCTTAGCAATTTTTGTCTTCAACCTTTTCCTCTTTGGCAATAAGATATAGTTAGCATAACTAGTGTGAACCTTGGTGGTATTCTTGATGCTAAGGAGTACTAAAGATATAGAAACTGTGGATAGAAGAGTAAAATTATCAAAATAAGTTCATATGACTATAGATAGGGATGTCAATGGGGCGGGGCGGATGTTGGTCTTCCCATCCCCATCCCTACCTAACATTTTCATCCCCATCCCCATCCCCATCCCCATCCCCGCGGCGGGTCCAAAATTCATCCTTATCCTCGCCCCAGCGGGTACAATTTCAAAACCATTCCCGCTCCACCACCCACTTGGATATCCACCCCCACCTAATCCCCACCCAAGACCCGCCTCCTAAATACACAATCCTACATATTACTAAAAAAAATATTATTGTTAATATTACACACTTTTTTGTTTATAATATAAGTGTATTACAAAGTATTATATTTACTATTTTATTTTACATAATTATCTTATAAAATGGTATAAAAGTGAAAAAAAATTGTTTTTAAAAATATATAGATGTTGGTATAGGGTGGGGATAGGGCGGGTACAACCTAAAATCCACCCTCGCCCCATCACCCATGGCGGGTATGGTTTTTATCCCCATCCCCGTCCCACCACCCACCACCAAACCGAAACCCATCCTCGCTCCACTGGGGCGGGTTGTAACACCCTTATAATTGTCTCTTTAAAACCTGTATTAACCTGTATAACCTGTAGTAACCTGTAAATACTTTTAATAACCTGTGAGAGAGAATTACCGGCGTGCTACCGCCACGTGTTCAAACGTTAAGGCTAGTTTCAGAAATCAACAGCGGAAAACTAACTTAGTTTTAAAAAGGAATATAAGTAACACTTTAATTCTCCCTTTACTCATTCCATTACAATAATAATGAAAAAATAATAAAATAATTCATTCCATATATTCATGTACTTTTGCCTCTAAGCTCATGTTGCATGTTAATGCATAAATAATACTTACAAGATAAATTAATACGCATTTCTCATACACGAATCAAACCAAACATCACAATCAATCAAACTCACTACCAAACAATTTCGACCAATCCACAAGTTCCCTAGCATGATTCTAGGTTTCCAAGACCTTAAGCATGCTTCTAAATCAAGGTTCCTCGTATTCTTGTACGTACCTTGAGTACACAAATTGGTTGGTCACCTTAAGGCTAGAAGTCACCTTCTACGAAGTCCTCTCCTAAACAAGACAACCATAGCTCAATTAATACCCAAGCAATATATTTTACAGCAATACCAAACTACTTTAAAATCCTTTAAATCATTGAAATAATGCTCTTAAATTATTCCCAATAGCCACAGTTAATAATTTAGTACTTCAACTATGAGTTTATATGCTAAAATCATAAAAATATAGCTTATAACATAAAACTCCAGCAACTTTAAAGTAAGGATTATAATATGGAAATTTAGTTTAAGAATATAAAACAATCTTATAAATATCTCTACTTGAAATAATCATTATATGATAGGTTAGTATGTTAAAAACCTAAAAAAAAATCCATCATAAAACCATGATTTAAAACTTTTAAAACCAAGATTAAAATCTGAAAATTTAATTTAATAGTAGAGTGTAAGAATACAACAATCTAAACTTAAAATATATATTTAGAATTCAACTAGTTTCATAAAAACTCAATTAAACCTTCAAAATTCAATTAAACAATTCTTTAAAACCTTCCTTTTGCTAGAATTAAAAGCTTATATATTATTCTTAAAATTTCTTATATAAAAACATTAAAATACATACTTATTCATAAAATTACAGCAAGTTTAAAGCTTTATAAAAATCTGAAAAATTTATTTTAAACATTAAACCTTCGTTAAAAATCAAAAATTGCCCGAAAACCATACATATTTAGAGGCTGAATTTGGCCACGAGATGGTGGTACTCACTACCAAAGGTAGTGAGATTTGATTAAAACGTCGTTTACACACGAAAAACACTATTTTTTTGCGAAAATCAGACTAGTTACAGTCAAAACGTGATTAAAACGTGATTAAGGAGAATTACGAACGGAATTCAGAAATTAATTACGAAAAAATTTAGAACTTGCTGTTGAATTAAACATCATCATAGTCATAGCAAAATCACAACAAAATCATGCTCAAATTGAATAACTTTAGCAATACGCTTTTAAGCCCTAAAACCATGAAAATCAAGTTTTAAACCCTAATTTCACAAATTATGTAAATCTGAAAATTTAAACTACATATCATAATTTATAAACTTGATAATTTCTCATGTTTTTAAAGAATTTAAACATGATTAAAGTAATTAAAACTAACAATATAAATTAAAATAACAATCTTTAATAATGATAAGGAAGAAGGAGAAACAAGGAAGGAAGGAGGAAGAAAGAAAACCGGCGGCCTGGTGGTTGGGCGACGGTGGTCAGGCGACAGCAAGGGTCCTGGGCGGTGCTGCGGTGGTGGTTACGGTGGCAACAAGCTTCGACCCTTTTTTTTTTGTTTGATCGTGAGTGCAGTAGGAGGGGGAAAGCTTGGGTTTTTTTTTTTTTTTTTTTTTTTTTAAAAAACGTGAGATTAGAGGGGGAAATAAGGGTTTTAGTTTTTCTAGTTCTAATAAAACTAAGATTAAGGTTTAGGCTTAAAGTTAGTGGGTTTTAGGTAAAAGAATAGGTTTAGTAATTTATGGGTTGGGCTTGCATATTAATGCATGATTACAATATGGGTAGGGAAATAATATAATGAAATAGTTTTATTAGTTTTATAAACATTAAATTTATTTGCTTAAATCATAGTAAAATAATTTATGTAAATAAATATCTATAATCAAATATTCACAAAAATATGTTAAAATATAATTTTAAATTTCACAAAATTACGGGGGATTACACGGGTCTCCTACTTGACCCGCCCCATTGACATCCCTAACTATAGATATGTTTTGAAGTCTTGAAAAAGGTATGTGCCAATGGTTTTGGTTATGGATTGTTAAATACGAGTTTAGGCTACACCCGCAAACTAAGAGAGAGAGTCCACTTCATAAGTACAAAGGAGGTTCCATCCCAAAACCATATGGCAATAGAAAGAGTAGCCCTTTAGTCTTATAAAGTGTTTAACTCTCTCTTCTTTTATCAATGTGGGACTCTTACATGTGCTATTTGGTGGGATATAATTCAACACTCCCCCTCACATGTAAGGTCCCTTTAACTCAAGGATCACATGATCCAATTCAATTTGGCTCACAATACTTAATGCTATTAAAGGTCCCAAACCATGGGCGTGGCAATATACTCAAGCCATTAGAGGTCCCAAACCGTGGGCCTTGGCTCTGATACCATGTTAAATACGGGTTTGGGCCGCACCCTCAAACTAAGAGAGAGAGTCCACTTCACAAGTCCAAAGGAGGTCCATCCCAAAACCATATGGCAATAGGAGGAGTAGCCCCTTAGCCTTATAAAGTGTTTAACTCTCTCTTCTTTTATCAATGTGGGACTCTTAGATGTGCTATTTGGTGGGATATAATTCAACATGGATTTGTGATATGACCTTGCCTACATATCTACGATAGCTTCCTTGAGCCAGAAAATTCTAGGCGCATTTGAAAATCAAATGTCAATTGCTATACCATCTATACAACTAAAACAAAATCCTCAATTTACTAGTGATTGCTTTCTCTTCCTTTTTTTTTTAAAATAACTTTTTTAATGTGGCAATCATAGAGGAAAATGAAGGGAAGGGAAAGGAGAGAGTTTTTTCATTACTTCCAAATCTTTCCCAGTCTAAAAACATTTGAATTGGTTAAAGGGAAAGGAAAATGGATCACACCACTCCCCTTATTTCTTTTCAGCCATGTCATATCCAGCTAGGGAAATTGGAAATTTCAACTCCATTCTCTTTCCTTTCCCCTTTCTTTTAAAGTTCCTCATCCCCACGGCCACGGCATAAAACTTTTTCTATGGTGGTTTGGTTACTTTTTCTCAAAATCTACTGCATAGTTCTTTGGTTGATATACATATTTTTAAACCCTTTCTTGATTTGATCTCCCAATTGATGATATTTTGGCTTTTAATTGCAATTCTTTGTAATTTTCAAGTTACTAGGAGGACAATTGATGCTATTTGTGATTACCCTGGCTTCAATTTGCAGTTTTGAAAGCTCTCACTCTCTCAGACTATCAAGAACGCATGCTCTCTCTGTGTGTGTGTGTGTGTGTGTGTGTGTGTGAGTGAACAAGTTTTTTGCCTCCCAAACATCCTATGATAAGTGAGTAAAGATGACTTTATTTAAGGAGTAGAATATCTTGGATACTATTCCGGCTCCACTACTGATCCTATAGACAATAGATTTGTTAATTTTAAAAGAAAATATGTAAAATGCTTTGCATCAAGCGCACTGCCAGAAAAGGACTGTGCTACTGCAATCATTAGTGGTGTCTACTAGTTTGAATAGCAGAATGTGTTTGATCTTTTACATGATCCCTTACAAAATGCTACAAGGACTTCTTGGATATTAACTACTCATGGGGTAGATAGTAATAACCATAGAACTGTTTTGTGTTGCATTTCTTGTAGGCTCAAGATCCACTCTTGAAGCTTTATTGAACATCATTATTTGCTCTTCCTTGTGTGTTTTAAACCATAGAGCTGTTTTGTGTTTGCGTTTCTACTTTTTGGGTTTAAGAAATTTTCTGAGATCAAGTTATTTGACTGCATCAGGGGCACTGCTGTGGCAATGAAGAATATGCTGGAGACTCAGTTTCCTGGAATTAATGTTGCTCTTGCAAATTACCCTCCACCACCTCCAAAACGTATCCTGAGCAAATTAGTTCCCGTTGCTCAAGTTGGAGTTTTTGCCATTATAATGGCAGGTGATCAGATTTTTCCTAGATTGGGGATGACTCCACCTCCATGGTTTTACACATTACGTGCTAATAGATTTGGAACGATTTCTGCAACCTGGCTATTTGGGAATTTTATTCAGTCTTATCTACAAAGCTCTGGTGCTTTTGAAGTATATTTTGACGGAGAACCGGTAAGCTGTTTGGTTGTTTACTTTTTTCATATTTTTTTTTTAGACTTTTCCCATTTTTATTGACAAGAGTTTGCACCATATTTTGGTGAACTTTCATATTTTTGGGAATTTTTCTTTGAATCTGATGAGATCCCTTCACTATATTGTGATTTGATGAGTTACTATTGTTTTATCTTAGTGAACCTGAAGCTTCTGTCTTAGTCATTGTTCTGTTCAACTGTTATCACTGAGCTCAACTGATTCTTGTTTAATTTGTTTTATGCTGTTTGCTGATTATTATCTTTACTGATCAAAACTGAATACTACGTATATCGATTGAAATTGAAGTTTACTGATTAAATTTGATTTTTACTCATTAGATTTGATTTTTTATTCTATATATAATCTGTAGTGAGCAAATATTCGTAGTCTTCCTCTGGGTCAGTCTGTTGATAATTCCGCCTTGTGCAAAAGAGCATGTTGGCTAATAGTTTCACATGCTTCTCGAATGTATGTTGTTGCTGATCACCTCTCTGTATTTATTGAACAATGTAGGTGTTTTCAAAGTTGGCGCAGCAAAGGTTTCCTGGTGAAATTGAATTGAGGGATCTTATTGGCAAAAAGCTTGCTGTAACTAAAATTGTGGATGGTGCAGGGGCAAATTTGTGGTCTTAAAGCACTCCCACCCTGATTTTGGGAAAAAGAAGGTAAGCAGAAAATGCATGCCTTGGAGATGAACAGAATCTGGTTCTACCCTAGTACTGTTAGCTGAGAAATTCTATCAGCCGGTACTTTTTGCTTGTAAATTTTGGATTCACCGGCAGGAAAATGATCATTATCTGACTTATGTAATCGAATTTGGAATCATAGAATGTGCTTCAGTTTCTAACTTATAACATGATGATTATTCCTTAATGTTTCCTTCTGTCGTGGTATAAGCTTTTTGACAAACAAATGTTGAACTTTAGTATGTAAAGTCTTTAGTCAATGAGACCTAAGGTCAGGGTTTTGGAAAGGCATTGTTGAGCCTTGTGGCCTCTCTATGAACACAGATATTGATGGAAATAAAAGTAACTTTCTTTACATCGAAGTAACTTTGTTTAGATAAGAAACTAATTGGATACTAAAAAATTAGGGGAAGGGGAAGGGGAAGGGGAAGGAGAGGGAGGATCTATTTTTTCTTTATTCTTTATTAAACATCATCTATGTAAAATCTTGAAAGGAAAATAGAGATTCACATTTTCCATCCCTTTCTTTCTCCTCATCCCTCCTCTTTTTGTATTGTTATCCATACAAAGTGCTAATTCATCGAAACAATGAAATCATGAATTAGTTAGTGACGACGTAGAGGAAACCTTACCGTTTGTAGCCCATAAAAAACGCAACTTAATTTTTGAGTTAGCTGCACCTCTCTTTGCCTTCTTGTTTATCTTTGTTTAAGACTTTGAGTTAGAAATAATATACGACTCCCTCCGTTTCCATATGAAAGTCCCATATGGAATCAATCACATAAAATAAGAAAAGAAGAACATTGGGAATCTAACATTAAAGTCTAAAACAATTCATAATTAGTTTTGTCTTATTTAATTTTTTTATTTTTTTTTATTCTTTTTGGGAAACCATCAGCCATTATATAATTCAAGGGAGGAATTTCCTTACTTACAACCATTACATCAATCCACAATCAATTAATTTAATCAATCAAAATTTAATAAGTATAAAATAGAAAATAAAAAAACTAAGTTATAAATAAAATATATTCAATATGGGTCAATCTTTTTGAAACGTCCAAAATAGTATATGGAACTAACAAATAGAAATGGAGGGAGTAATATTTATACAAGTGGGGTTATTGGGAGAGAAACAATAAAATAATAGTAAGTCTTTACCAAATTACAAAGTTTTGCAATTATTATGAAACATACTAGCTCTGTTAATGGGTTATCTGCAACTTTGGAGTATTATTTGTGAGATATAAAAAATTCCAAAGTTGCAGATAACAATTAACGGAGGTAGTACGTAAAAGGAAAGTTTTACGATTATTATGAATCAGACGTAGTACTTATTTTCCTCTTCACCGAGTGCACAGGATACTGATATGATGTTGGTTTTACTTCGAGGAAAAGCAGAGTGATCTGCCACAAGCCAATAAAAATGGAAGGTGTATCTCCTTCCACTCCTGTAAAATACAGATTAATGGCTTATAGACACGCAGAGCAAAGGATTGTCATTCCCAGAAATTTCATGGATTGTGTTACTTTGCTCGTATAGATATCAAAGATTCGAGCTTAATGCTCATGAACAGAGAAAAAGTTTACATCAAACTCGAGTGACCTTTCACTACTTCCTCATCCCAAACTTCAAATAAAAAATGGCATTATACATATCTGCAAAAATGGACACTGTATACAATAATTGTACACTTGTTTGGAACCAATCCAAACATAATGGAAACCTGTACAAACATCTACCTCACGCAATTATAAGTTACAAGGTTCTGAATTTGCGGTTTCATCCTTCCAAGTATCCTCTTGCAATCCACAGATTGCTTCATCAGTCCAAATATCCTCTTGCAGTCCACAGACTAAACATCACACCGCAGTGAAAAAATAAAGCATATAAATAGGGTTGGTGTTTCAACTTTATATCTTCCACCATTTCTTTTTCCTACTTTCCATTGTCTTCACAAGCTCATTAGCCATCGATGCAAAATTTTCAGCTTCATAACGCAGATCTTCAGATCTTTGGTTGATTCTCTGATCAGAAGGATAAGCAGAAATTACTCATGAATTCACACATTGCTACATAAGATGCATTACAAAACTAGAGCCAAGTGGGTGAGACAGCAGGGCATTTGAAAGAAACATATCTTCAGCTACAACTTTGATCTTTTCAAATCGGTCTAATTTAATATTACCTCAAGTTTCTCCTGGCGTTCTAAAAGCTTGTTTCTTGCACGTTCAGCTGCTGCAGATGCATACTGAAAAAAAATATCCCATTAGAAAGCGCAAACTTGGTTGTTTATATTTATAGCACCTTCACAAGATACACATAGAGTAACAAAGGAAAAGAGGACCAAGGCCCCCATATTGGCTGCGAAGAGGAGGAAAAGAGATCCAAAGTGAAATGAAATCTAATTAATTACCTCAGTTCCCTTATATGCGGCCATAATTTCTTCAGGTGTTCTAGTTCTGGGTTTAAGGTTAACAGAAGCACCCTCAAACAATCTGTCTTTCTCTGCCTTCGTTGTTTTTTCCTTTGCTGAAGTGCCAATGCAAGCATATGGTTTTAGAGGAAGTACAGGATAAACAGGACCAGGTATATGAGCATATGCCTAATCTTCAGAGTTCAAGATTTACCTTGGTGGGATGAAGTTGAAGACTCCATAACTGGTTCATCAATTTCAATGTCATCTAATTCAGAAGCAAAAGTATATTAATCAGTAGAAACCAAAACATAAATTAAGAATGCATCTTTCTTATTGAAAGAAGCTAGGCACCTATGTCAAGCTCCTCCTCTTCCTTTTCTTCTACAGTGTTTATAGATGAATCAGGAACAACAGGCCTTGAAAAAGCTTCCTGTAACTTATACAAGTTACCAGGAGGATTGTCTTTAGCATTATTTGGTTTTTCCTTTTTAAAGCCCTTCACAATGTCACCAATGATGCCTGTAGGAGGAGCCTATCACACACAAAGTCATTACACTTCAAAGAAAGGTATTATGTGAATACTAACATGAGGATCGAGACAATAAATAGTTAAATACCACATAGCTAGTGAATTTCACCTGTTTCTTTTGTTTCATCGAGATGGAAATAGCTGCATCAGCAGCAGCAGCCACAACTTTATCATGAAGTAAAGGCAAAAACTCCAAAAACCTAAAATTTCAACAAAATAAATACTTGGTTAACATCTTCTAATGAAAGATAAATACAAAGTATTTGAGAAAGATACAATTAACCACAATAGGCAGAACCTTGTCTCAAATTCAGAAGTAGACAAAGAGAGGAATGCCAACTCACTTCCATTTGCCTGCAATTATTAGAAGATTAGACTTCTGAGTCAGTGAATCATTGTTTAGAAAGTAATAGCTATAAGTGGTCAGGTGATTAATGAAAACTTTTCAAAACTAGTGTGTTATGACACAGAAACATGTTACCAGACAAATTAGTCCATGGTCTGTACAACTTGCCAGCTTCATATTCGGCCTCATATTCCACCTTAGAATTGAAATTAAGGAGCTTTCTGTGAGCAGCTCCAAATCAGGAAACGACCTGCAGAGTCAATGCATGAAAAGGCCATTAAGCATGCATTTCAAGGCTCAAAAACTACAAACATCATTCTGTCATGTAAGATTGAGCTAGTTCTTTTCTGTTTTTTTTACCTGACTTCAAGGTCCCCAGACTGATAGACCAAGATTAGACCAACAACCTTGTCATCTTTTTTGAAAATAGAAGTCCAAGAACATGGTTTTGCAAGTTTCACCTTAGAAATTGGTTTGTCTTCGCCCTAGATACGACAGCAGGTAAGCCTATACACAGAGAATTGAGTGATATCTACAAGGAAAGCAGAAGGCTGTTGTGTTACCTGCAGTATGGATTTGGTATAATATAAACGTAATGTGTTTTCACAGCAAAGCAATAGTAGAGAATCCAGCAACCTTTCTCCATGCATGGAGAGATGTCCAGCTCCAGTGTCTTTCAAGTCACCTCTTTTTGAAGAAGTATCTTGCTTAGACTCATCCACGATATTGGTTTCCTTATTTGACTGATCATGGTGCTCCGATGATGATGCAGACATGAAACAACTGCCTTCTAAAATGCAAAACCAAGTTTAACAACAAAGCCAAAACAGAAAAAAGGCGTGAATCAACCATTATTTTGTTGAATGTTTATGACTTGCCTAAGACATACATACTGACTGCTGTATGCTCCTTCAAATGCAAAGGCCGGGAGCTGATAGGACTGCCAGTCTGACAATCAACAACACTAATTTTTGCATCCTCGGTTACGGTAAACAACTCTTCTCCAGGCTGTTCCATATTCTTTGTCCCTAAATGCTTTGGGCCTCTGCTATAGCCATGAGCATCTGAAAATTCTTTTGAAATAAATGAAATTACTGGAAAACTAGAGTTGGCTACAGAATCTGTTGAAAACAAAACTGACAGCGAGATCATATCAAGAGCTGCTACCTGAAAGATGGGGCATAAAGAGAGTAAGTTGGATCATCAAGCAAACAAAAACAGTAAGTGGGGGGAAGTAAGGAACTATTAGTAAAGGAAATGGCATCCGTTTAACTAAACTATACTTTTCTTGATGAATCAAACACAAAGTAAAAAGAAGCTACGGACATGACTACTTTCAAATCCCACAGCAAGTTTGGCTCCAGAAGCAGAAAAATGAAGTGCCTGCACTGAAGAATTCACCAAAGAGAAAACAGCTCTGCATTGAGGGCCCTTCTGTAATGGTACATCATAGACTACAGATAACATAAAACCCTGTCAGTTATGGTTAAGAAGATCAAGATAACAATCTATAAATACATTGCTTACATGATATACACTACATACCAATACGTTCAGAATGATTAATCCAGTGAAGTTTTGTTGCCCCAGCTTCATTATTGAGACTGTATACACGGACCTGAAACAACATATTGCAAAGTGAAATTCAAACATAGATGCGGATTGTTGCTAACAAGTCAACTTAAAAACATGAGAAGCAATTATCACCTCACCACAGTGAGTGCCAACAGCCAAATTCATCATTGATGCGCAAAAATCTATCTTCGTAACAGAAACATTTGAACTAGCATTAGCTACACCATGCACCTGCAAACAATTAATAATATCTTTAAATAGAGCAACAATGACCAAGGTTCATCATCCACATAATCAAGCTGATAAATGCATACATCATCACGTTTGATGGAACAGGAACACTAACCTGACCTTCTATAACGGAAACGAGTGGAAATATCGGAGTAGTGGCATCCCAAATTCGGACAGATCCATCTTGGTAGCCAATTATGTAGATAATTTTCTGTGCATCTTCTTCATCAGAGGTTATTTCCCTTTGTAAACCCCCAGTCAATGGCCACTTACTCCCTTCAGCTACATTCGAAGAAACTGTAGCCATCTACAATTGAAAGCAAAAAAAGGAATGCATCAGGAAAGAATCTGAGAGACTATCTTAATGACCATTTTACACTGTATAATACTATGTACCTCTGAAAGCCACTTTGCCAAATTCCCATCAGAAGGTTGCAAGCTCATTTTTGCAACGGTCATTAGAGGATCAGAAATGGGTATTACCACAGGCGACTCTGTACCAGATACAGATGATTTTTTCTCTGACTGAGAAAGTAAAGCAGACAAATTCTCCATACAATAAAACTGCAACTTGCCCGGCCTAGTCAATACAAAAAGGCCATCAAAGTTGCTCTTCACTGTTGTCTCTAGAGATGATGATGTAACCATATCCGCAAAGGCCCCAATGAGGGAAAAGTCCACACGACGAACACTTTTTAGCATCTCCATGCCAAGAGACCATTGAAGACTCACTACCTGTCACAACCCACAACTGTACAAGAATGAGCAGAGCCAAGCAAACCCCTATGCCAAAAAGAGGAGCATATAATTTTTTTTTTTTTTAAAAAAAATAAAATAAAAACCATCAAAGTTCATAACTAGACTCCCAAACATACATGATACATGCAATCAAATAAATTCAAAAGATGGTCGCCATACCAAGACTCCCAAACATACATGCAGCCAAAGAAAGAATACAAAAAAAAAGGCTTGAACACAACACCCCAAATTTTTTAGAAGCTATCTTGTTTCAGCATCAAAAAAAATTGTAGTCCAAAAGCAATGAGCAAAAACTGATGCACAATGAGTCCTAAAGATAAGATAGAAGAACCAATTCGAGAATCCTAAGTTGCAAATGTGCGATACCTTGCTATTTGCACGTTCACTTACAGCTTCAAGAAAAATGACGAGCAACTAGCAGTCAAAAATAGAAATTTGAATAATCTAAAACCACAGGAGTACTGAACTAGATTATGTATCCCAAAGAGTATAAGGTATGCAGGGCTATCCAAACAAGTTGCTGGAGAGGATGTTTTAAAACCAAAGGCTCATAGGTCATAGCAGTATAGCACACAATATACTAAGTAATATTCTACTCGTACTATAACATGGGCCAACAAAGGGAAGGTAATACCTAAACATACTACCATCCAGATAAGGAAACCAAAAAAGTGAAATAAATAATTCAAATTACCAACCGTTATAACTTCTTCAGATCCTATTTCACAGCCACCATACACAAAAAGTTGGCCACCACAGCTGCTTTGAGATATACTGCTTTCACCCCAGCACAAAAAAATGACAGGAAGTCTCTTTTCAGCTGAGGATAACTGAAGCTTCACAACATCATCACATGATACACCAGCACTTTTACTTTTCAAGAAAGAACCTCTTGGTATGTTCCATAGCAAAATGTCTCCATCAATATATCCTACAGCAAGCATTGAGCCAACTGAAGATGCCCAACAGAGAGCACTAATTTCTTTCTCGTTCATATGTTCATGTGCATCTTCTAGTGGATCCACGGCTAAGTTACTTGGAGATTCAGATAAATGATCTTTTATACGCAAATCATTGTCACCTTTCAAGACTATAACCTTAGATTCAAGAACATCCCATAATACAAATAACCCATACTGATAGGCAATCAGTAATCTGCGAAATAACCACAGTAAAAACAATCATCAGGTACATTCCAAAATATATGTCCTGAGTGCAGCAGATTGAATGGAAATTCAGTTTAAACAAAATACTCCAAAGTAATCTTTTGGGAAATTCCAAAGAGTACTCATTTTTGGATATTTTGATATAGTGCGCAATACATTTTATAACTCAAATGATGTTCCTGTAGTCTTGACAACAATTTATATGGCAACCTTTCAGATATTCAAGTCATTATTTTTTTCCGACTACCTTCAATCTCTCATTCTCTCTCAACTAGCATGATGACGCTATCAGATGGCTGCATGGCTTAAAAGAGGGGCATGTGAAAGATTTCTCCTTTTTCTGTTCAATAAGTTCAATAATTATCATTCTAACCTTTCATTATTATTTTTACAAAGGTTATAAGGAACTTCAGAGGAAGAAAGAGGATACACTGTTAGTTATGATAACGTGCACAAGTAAATCAATCTCAATGAAGAAATTAATAAAAGGATACCACATGGATGTGGTAATATGAGAACGGCACCATATAAATCTTTAACAAAATCCTGTCCACCATACGAAAAAGTCCAAAACACGATTTCCCGATATGGATTTTCCCTAAGTTGAGGAATGACTTGCCTGTTGCCAGAGCTAGAAGGTTGAGGGAGAACTCCAACAACAGATTGATCATTAGGGAATGAGATGCCAGTCTTTTCTGCAAAGCAAGCAACATGGCTTTAAAGTTGCTTCAAAACACAAAAAAAAAAAAAAAAAAAAAAAAAGAAATTCATCTCAAGACAAGTTACAAGTTATTTTAGCTTAGTTAACTAGAATAGATCATGCACACCAGATCCAACATTTAATTGACTAAACAGAAGTCATTTGCACTTCCAACATGAATAGACTGGAACACAGCCTAGTATGCTAAATTGCTAATTGAAAATATAAACTTGATAAAAAATAAATAAAAAAAGGTCCTAAGAAAATGTCTGGCAACCTGGCAATTCATGCCCTAATCTCTAAATATGTCAAACCACTCTACCAGGATAGTTCTCATCACTCAAGAAGCAAAATGAAAATTAATAAATGTGAGAAGATAAGACTAAAAATCACCAGAGATATAAACAGGGGAAATATGATACGGCATATTTACAAGTTTTTCATCTTCGGTACCGTACTGCACCACAGACACCATACCATGCTCGTCCCCGACAAACCTACACAGTGGATCATGACAAAGTTTCACAAAATATTTGAATACTAGAGCTAAAATAACGCATGTTATAAAAATGTTTTATAGGTCAGTGTTGGTGCTATACATGAATGGGGAACCTGAAATTACGGAAAAAGCTGTGATATTAGACTCCCATTGCAAACTACATGTAATGCACCTGCTCTCCAAATTCCAAACCTGAAAACGATGGCACCATGTATTACAGCATTTCTAAAATAAGTTATGTTATATGCAGGTTTTACAAACCTGATACAGCATGAAGAATGCAGAAAGGCTCACTAACTCCTCAACATTAAGCCAGAATGTTTTACAGTGATGTCAGAGGCCTAGCTTTCAAGAAAAACCATTGTATCCTACTCCCTATGTACCTCTTTACTTTTCTCCTTTGGATTTTTCACACAAATTAAGGAATTTAGGACATAACATGATTAAAAAGTAATTGCTATCTTTTTTTATAGTTAATCTATGACCAAAAAAGAGAGAGAGAGAGAGAGATTGCATTTAAGTCATTTTGGAACTTTGAGAGTATTGATGGTCCCCGTGAATTTTTTTATTCATAGTGGACACATTTTTAGGGAAGATTTGAGGATACTCGTGTCTTTAAAATTTTCCAATGAGGGCATAATGGGAATACTTTATGGCCATATAAGGAAATGGGAAGCACATTTTGGGACACAAAAAATGGAGATGGGAAAAGTAAAGAGGGACGGAGGGTTAGTCTCAAAATAATTTGGGGTCGTCTAACATGAATCGTCATAAGGTACCGTCCTATATAGAAAAATGGATGTAACAAGGTAGTCAGTGGAAAGAGTTTGAAAAAAGGTGTGTAAAGTGAGAAAATTTGGTATTAACTAGAAACCATCAATTACTAGATAAAGCAAGAGTTGATGAAGTTGAATTTAAGAAAAAGGATTTTAAATTTTTAAAAGGAGAATCTTTCCCTAATTCAAAATCCCATTGCTTTCAAACAATTGATATCCATAAGAAGGTTATGAGCTCGAGTTTCAGGCTCATTAACTTCATATTGAAGAACTATGACTATGACTTGCTATAAAATGTTTAGATTTTGTTGCTTATCAAAGAGTTAGAGAGGTGAAATGGTTTAAGCAAAAGCAAAAGAAGGATATCTTTACTAGAATAAAAACTCAAATTTTCCATAATACATCAAACACGTTATATTTCAAAGTTATTATGTCTCGGGCTAAATTCAGAGTTCCAAGGATTATGTGTTAGAATCATTCAAAATATTTCAGAACTCATTCCTACGTCTTTTGCACACATATCCAGAGTTAAATGGTTAAACACGGTTTTTCTTAATATTGTTTAATTTCTGATGTTCAAGTGTGTTTATCAACCTAACGGGGGAGAAAAAAAAGGCTCAAATGAGATTTTTTTTTACAGCTTAAATTTAGATAAAGCCAAAAAACCTACTCCACCTTATAACTTATCACATGCTAAATGGCCAATCCACACCCTAATTGGTGGCTTGGTGCATATCAAGTGACTATGACTCAACATGTCATTGATATAGATGTGCGAATTTGCCAACAAGGCAACATTGCAGCAACTCACCTAATATCGTCCATCATCTTTCTTTGTCTTATGTTTTTAAAAGCTACCTGTTAGAAGGGTGAAAAAAATACTCGAGTAGTCACCCCCTATCAGCTTGCACAGACTAATAAGGTGTCCACACTCACAATTTCCAATTAAGATCCAGAAAAATCTTGAAAACACTAGATAATGAAATAAACATGAAGAGATGATGAGAACTCACCTGAATTTCATTATCGTTCAAGATGCCAACCAAATAGCCTTGGTTTTGCATAAACTGTCAAAAAGAGAGAAAAGGATGAGCATTTCCGGCCAATTTACAGAATCCTACTAACAGTGATCATCAACTGTCTTAATATCTAACCACACCTTCCAGGCAACATGCATTCAAATATAATTATTTTTAATAGAAACTCCAGGCAAAGCTTTACAAAAAAGAAATAAAAAAGCTAATAATCTGTTCAAATTTGGGGGTTTTAACATTACTATGATTTAATGTTTCAAATAAATTTGGTAATAATTAAAAACATCAACTCGTTAAGGTCCATAAGAAACCTAAGGGATTGCCAAACCTTGATCAACTAGTGTCTTTTACATCTTAACAGGTAAAAGCTGATGCTTGCAATAAGGTTCAGACTAGCCTAAATCGTTTGTATAACCCAGTAGGTATATCAAGACAACACCAACCTCACTCTAGACTGATCATGAATTCATGATGAACCCACAATGTTGCTTCAACCTGTCATGTCTCATGGTCATGGCTTTACACATGACCACCTTCTGGATCACTCAACCCATGAATACCATAGTTCATTAAGATGACCCCATTAAATGCTATTCATGGACCCCAAATAAGAACATCAAACTAGCTTTTGAGTAGGTATGTTCAACAAACTATCACTATTTTTTTATGTCATGCAGTCGAAGTGTTCAACAATTTAACAGGTAATATCCATTCACTTTGACATGATCAAGAGACATGGTAGCCAGCTTAAGAGAGTAAAACTGCTCCTCTAAGGTGAAACCTTCTTATCCTTACTCTTATCAAAACCTCAAAATCTAATCGGTGGCCAATCTATCATAAAGACAAAGTTTTACCTATCACATTCTGCAAAGACATCAAGGTTTAAAGATCCATCTAATGCATGATTACCAAGTGTGTCAGGTCCTATATAGTGGTCTTGAGGTTCCTAGTCATGCAGATAATTGGCATCCTCTAGGCATAACACCAAGCTCATATCCATATGAGGAAGCTCAAGTAGGTTACGTTGAGTATTTCCATAGGAACCTCAAAAAATAGAAGAGCTAACTAGCTAAGCAATCATTCCACTATACAGGATTTCTAAAGTTTTCGAAAAATTTCAAGCGACCACTATTAACATTTTTTCCTCCTAAATCCCTTCAATTTCCCTCTTTTTTTAAATTATGTTTTACTCCCTAAATTTTAGGAAGGTATATAATTTTTTTTTTCAAAAACACTCTAAACAAACTTTGAAAACTATTTTAAATGGGTTAAATTGATAGATAGGTAAAATAAGGTTTGTTTTGATTCCCTTGAAATTTTTTATATTGATTATTAAATGTATTACATTCTACAAGTGTGTATTTTTTTTTTTTACAAAAAACAACAATTTTTTAAACAAAAAAAAAAGAGTTGAATAATTATTAATATTCTATCATTTTTTTTGTTGTTCATGTCGAAATCAGTTAAAGATTGTGATTTTTTTATAGTAATTTGTACTTTTAGTAATGCCAAAAGTTTTGATAATTATATTTAAAAAGATTTATTTATTTGCAAATAACTTAAAAATTCGAGTATTTGTTAAGGATTATCTAGTCTACAAATAAGAACCCAACCATGGGTCAACCCATCACTAAACCGCATTTAGACCAAAGCCTACAAACTCCTAAACCGCATTTAAGAACAAAGCCTTCAAACTCACAAATTCTTCCTCTGTTTTAATATATCATGCATATTAACTTAGTCCAACAAGTGATGCTTCTAACACTTTGTTTGATAGAAAGTTAGAAGGAAAAAATAGGGGAGGAGAAAGAAAGAGAGGGGGAAGGTGCATCCACTTTCTCTCCCAATTTCTACAATCTTGAAGGCATAATGTTTGTTAAAAAGGGAGGAAAAATGGTTCCTCCTCACTCTCACTCCCTCTTCTTCAATCCCCTAACCTCTTATCTAAACAAGGGACCTTATTCATTTCCCTTCTCTCCCTTTCTCTCCAAACAAAGTGTAAAACTTATTGCTATAAATCATATTAAGGAGCTTAGAAACTGAGACAAGAGAGAAATAGCAAATTATTGTATTGATATCCGATGAATTGTAACAATAGCTTTCGAGAGCTAGTATCTCGCAATACTTTATATCAATATGCATTTTGAATGATAACCATTCCTCTCCTTTATTTGTGTGTTACTTGTATATTCCCTCAAAAGGCATAATTAACTTTCTAACAAAAGTCCCTTATTGCCTTATTTTTTCGGTGGTATCAGACTTGTCCTAAGACTCCTAATATCATTTTTGACACCTCAAGATGAAGTACATTAATCTCAGGAAACACAAGGATCACAATCTGCCTGATGGTGTGTTCGTTGGCAGTCTTTTTTACTCTTGAGACTAAAATAGAACCATCAATTGTCTTTAAATTTGGTTCGTGATTTTAAAATGTCTTATGTATGGCAGAAATACGGCTGGGAAAAACATCATTTTTGTTAGACAGCATCTAAAATTTATAATTTTTTTAAAAAAAATAAAATTATTGTCTTGTTTATATGACTTAATGATCTACAAAGTACTCCCTCTGTATTTTATTACTTGCTCCACTTTTCTTTTGCGGCTGTACTTTATTACTTGCTCCATTTCCTTTTTTGGAAACCTTTCACAATATGTTACTAATCTTTTCTCTCCTAGTGGACCCTCCAACTATCATACTTTAATATTTTCAGATTCTCTTTCCTCCCAACTATCATACTTTATTCTTCCACCAACCTCACTTCCTTCATATTTTATTAATTTATACTATTTCTACTAAAACTCCGCGCATGGATTAATGAAGCAAGTAATAAAATACAGAGGGAGTATATATTAGTTGCACCTTTTATGTAAAATTTTGCGCTAACATCTATGACAATAAATTTCTTACTTTAGCGATGAGCTAATAGTCAAAGTACCTCCAAATTTTTGTAAGGCATCTCTCGTGGAGATATAAGGAGAGCTTCGATATTATATCCTCCAATCACTTTTATCCTACCATCACTGCATAAAACACAATAAAACAATTGAGTCAATGTTTATATAAGGAAGAAAGCCACGTACAAAAGAGAGCATACCATCCAAATCAGTATTCTGTATTCATAGATAACGAAATGTCCCCAATAGCCGGTAGTTGCATCTAAATTAGCAACCTACCTTGTCCTATATTGTACTCCCTCTATTCACATTTGATTGTCTCCACCCTCCTTTTCATTTTTCGGAATTAGTGTACTCTTTCAACATCAAACACCACTCATGAATAACAAGACAACCAAGTAAATTTTTTTTAACTTGGTATAATTTCCAATACCAAAGTTGGTTAATATACAAACTACTTGATCACCCCATACTCAAACAACTTACTCCACAATCCACATAACAATTAATTAATACTCGACTACTCGTACAATAATTGGGAACATAACAATAGACCAAAAAATGGTCAAGTTGGAATACTCACAGTGTTCCAACAGCCAACAACTGTTGAATTGGATCAATAGCCAGAATTGATGCAGTACTAGGAATACCAAAGTGAATTCGAATATGCGGATCCAAGTCCGTCGGCTTAAGATTTCCATGTGGTAAATCCTGCTGCATTGTCAACAATGATTCTTAATTTCAACAACAATATACCATTCATACACAAGCCTTCCTAATACATTTACATGCTCATTTTTTAGCAATGTCACGAATATAACTTTGAAAGGATTAATCTTTTATTCTTCAACTCATAATAATAACAATAATAATGCATTTTTGAAAAGGGGTAATAGGAATAATTAGAAAGTATGAATGAAAATAGAAATAGAGAAAATTTTGAATTAATAAACAGATACCCAGATTAAATTGAAAAATAATAAGAAGAAGAATTTAAGATTTCTCAAAAAACAAAAACAAAAAATTGAGCTGATTCATAAGCATCGGAGAGAAAATTTCATTAATTAATTAACTTTTGCAAGCAAAAATGAAAATTGAAATAAAAATCAGAGCTGAAATTATTTAAAATTAAAAAAATGGTGTACCTGATTATGATGATGATGATGAGTGGCTTTCTGTAACAAGCGTTTGGCGAACATTCTATTGAAGGAGAATCGGGGTTGGAAAATGATAAAGGAAAGATTGAAAAATTAATAAAAGAGGAAAATTGGAAGATTTGAATTTTGAGAAATTTTGGGGGATTGAAATATTTTTGAGTGTGTTTGTTCAAGTCAAGCAACTAATTATTTTGGGTGTATTTCACTATTTTGGCTTTGATTGGCCTGCTTCGTTTTTCTTTTTGTTTTGTCGGACTTTTTTTATTTTTATTTTTATTTTTTTATTTAAGAAATTTGAACAAATGTTTTTTTTTTTTTTTTTTGGAATAAATTTGAACAAATTGTTTTGTCAAACTTTTTTTTTTTTAATGAAAGTATTTTAGGGGTAAATTCATGTTTCTCCCCGTAAACTAAAAAATAAATAAAAACAAAAAAACAAAAAAAAAAAAAAATGTTTCTCATATTGATAAACATAACAAGTATCTCAAAGGGGAATTTGTCTCATTTTGAGTGTGTACGTAGGGTTAAATTGTAAATTGAGCTTAATCTGCCTTCTTTTCCTCCCTCTGTTCTTCTTCTTCCTTCATTTTCTCACCTCCATCAATGGAAATCAATATTCGTATAATCGAGAAATCGAAACGCACCAACATCTCCACTGGAGGAGGAAGACAAACCCTGCCCTAAAGGATTTACCATGCCCTAATTTTTCCTTTTTTTTTAAGGGTTTTACGTTTGATTCCTCCATTCTTTTTTGGGGTTTTTCGTTTGATTCAGCGACGAAGCCGCCGGAAAACCCATTGGAATAGTGAAGGAAGGTGAAGAAGATAGGGTGGCAACGAAGATGATGGATGATGAAGAAGATGTTCACAGCACCAACACCTTCAATGGACAGATATGGAGGAGGACGAAAAGATGCGAAGCAAAAAAGTTCCAAAAAAAATATATAAATGTTAAAAATATTTTACCAATAAAAGAATATTGGAGAATAAAGGAAGTAAAGAAGTGAAAATAGTGTAGTGCTTCGGTTATTTTTGTTTGTATAGTTCACAATATGAACTTGCCTTTTTATAGGCAAATTTTGTCATTAAAATAATTTGCATGATTGTATTTTGTTACAAATCATTGTACTAGTTAACATGTTTATGTGAACTTCATTTTTAACTTTTCTCGACACTCGCCCTTGAATGTTCACATGAAATCAAATATATATGAGCTATAGAAAATCATAAACAGGAGTTAAAAGAGTACAATGATATAATAGTATATGCTTTGATAAACTGTCTTGTTAAAAACCGGTTAGGAAAAACCCAGTGGGATAAAAGCCTAATGGAAGGAAAAAAGAGTGCAGTGCATATAATACTCCCCCTGATTTCAGTAAAGTTCACGAAGATGTCGCATTCCAATTTTGTGAACTAATTGCTCAAATCTCTTCGAAGGAAGTGATTTGGTGAACAGGTCGGCAAGCTAGGTTGTCACAAGACTGAATTTTCTAGACATCTATTTCCTCTTCATTATGCAGATCATGTGTGAAGAATAGTTTTGGGGATATATACTTTGTTCTATCTCCCTTAATATATACTTCAGTTACTTGAGAGATGCATGATGTATTGTTTTCAAAGATGATGGTTGGATTTTCCGTTATCATATTCATTCCACATTCTTCTTGGATATCACTACATGATCATCGACCTCAACCATACACTCAAGTCCTGCTTCATAAAGAGCTATCAACTCTGTATGATTCGAGGATGATGCGGTCAATATCTGCTTTGTTGATGTCCATGATATTGCGGTGCCACCATAAGTGAATAGATATCCAGTTTGTGACTTGGCGTCTTATGGATCTGATAAGTATCCAGCGTCTACATACCCAATGAGAGCAGCATCTGTTTTGGTTGATAATATAAACCAAGGTCTTGTGTCCCTCGTAGGTACCGAAGCAAGTGTCGAGCTCCCTTCCAATGTCTATATGTCAGTGCGTTGCTGTACCTGGCTAACAAGTTCACAAAGAAAGCTATGTCGAGTCTAATGTTGTTAGCTAAGTACATTAAGGCTCTAATTGCACTTAAGTATGGTACTTCTGGACCCAAAATTTCTTCACTTTCCTCTCGGGGTCTGAATGGATCGTTCTCATATTCAAAGAACGAACAACCATTGGGGAGTTGATTGGAGTTGCTTTGTCCATGAAAAATCTTTTCAAAACTCTTTCTGTATAGTTTGATTGATGGACAAAAATACCATGACTCAAGTGCTCAATTTGCAACCTAAGGAAAAATTTAGTTTTTCCAAGGTCTTTCATCTCAAATTCTTTCATCAAGTACTTTGCAGCTCTTTCAAGCTCATTTGGGGTTCCGATGATATTCAGATCATGAACATAAAATGCAATAATAGCGAATCTTGATTGTGATCGCTTAATGAATTAAAACACGGTGACTAATTTGATTGTTATTGAACCCTTCTCTCATAAGGTATTCACTGAGACGGTTATATCACATCCGCTCACATTGTTTCAATCCATAAAGTGACCTTTTTAGTTTTATGGAAAGTAATTGTCTAGGCTTGTGATTTTTTGGTAGGTTTAGCCCTTCGGGAACTTTCATAAATGTCTTTATCGAGTGACCCATACAAATATGCAGTCACTATATCCATTAATCGCATTTGCAGTCCTTTTGAGACTGTCAAGCTTACCAGAAATCTTAATGTAGTTGGATTAACTACTGGAGAATATGTTTATTCATAATCAATCCCTGGAATTTGAGAAAATCCTTAGGCTACAAGTCTTTCCTTGTATCTAACTATTTCATTTTTCTCTTACGTTTTCTCACAAATACCCATTTGTATCCAACTGGTTTTACACATGTTGGTGTAAGGGTTATTTTTCCGAAAACTTCTCGTTTTTCAAGTGACTTTAACTCAGCTTGCACTGCCTCCTTCCACTTTGGCCAATCACTCATGTGTCGACATTCTTCCACCATTCTTGGTTTAACATCATTTTTATCAGACACAATTTCGATTGCAATGAAATTTGCAAATATTTCATTTACGATAACATCTTTTCTATTCCAATGAATCTTGGTAGAAACATAATTCATTGAAATTTCATTGTTATTGATGTCTTTGTGATCTTGTTCATTCCCTGTCAGGCTGTCTTCTTGTTCATTCCCTTTCGGACTATCATCGTTTTCTTTATTCTCATCCACATTTAGTCTTTCTTGCCTTTTGATAAGGGAACATCATTAGTCTCGTTTTATATTCCATCCAATCTTTTCAATTTTCTTGGCTTAGAATCTTTTGAACCAAGTAGTCTCCTACGCTTTTCGCGTGTTTGAGATTCATTTTCAATGACCTTATTACCAATCGGAATTTCAATATGTGTGGGGGCATTTTTGCTGGTATATGTGATTTTGTCACCTTCTTTGTGTCTATATATGCATCAAGCAATTGATTTGCAACACTTTGTAAATGAACAATTTTCTTGACTTCTTGTTCACGCGCATTAGTTTGTGGGTTTAACATCAACAATTGTGTTGCACTCCAAATGAGTTCTATTTCTTTCTTGTGTGGGTCCACTTTCTCTCCCCTTAAGGCTGGGAATAATGTCTCATTGAAATGACAGACGAAAAATCTAGCCGTAAATAAATCACCAGTTAATGGTTTAAGATACTTAATTATAGAGGGAGATTCAAACCCGACATAAATTCCCAACCTTCTTTGTGGACCCATTTTTGTTCGTTGGGGTGGAGCAATGGGAACATATACAGCACAACCAAAGATTTTTAGATGTGAGATACTTGGTTCTCGACCAAAAACTACCTGTAGTTGTAAAAATTTATGATAAGTTGTAGGTCTCAATCTAATTAGTGTTGCTGCATGTATTATATAGCATGTGTAACTGTAAGGAATTTTTTAAACTCAACCTTTTTGAGCCCCACTGTGGTCATGCTTTTAGGCATGGCGGCGCTCCAAGGGAAGGAAGCTAGAGATAGAAGAGTCGCCAACAAATTTTAGAAACTTGTAAACCGTTCACAGGTGCAAAGGTTACACCCCATTCACGATCACGGAGATCGCTAACTCCATAATGGTCCGGAACCATGACTGGATATCGGGGATGATGGTACGAATCCAACCTAAAAGAGATTGAACCCGCCCTAAATCGGCCTCTACTCAATTCTTATGATATTCATGTGCGCTTTTTGATCAACATACATACATCAAGTTAGCCCTAAACCTGTTTAATCTACGTTGATTGATTATTAATGCACAATCAAATCTATTATTGGTGATCACTTGAATTAAAATCATATTAAGCCTATATCAAATTATTAATTATCTTATTAAGCGTGATTTCAAGTACGAATTCCCTTTAAACCTGCAAAAAAGGGCTTGATCAAGCAATAACAATCAATCATGAATAATCAAGCAACATATGATTAATTGACACAATAATCATCATCATAATCAAAATCATCAAAACATCATTAGTAAGATCCTAGGCATGATACTAAACAAATTAATAATAAATCCTAGCATGTCACTAAATAAAAATCATAATCAAAACATTATCCTAAGCATGATATTAGAAATCATTAAAACATCCTAACATGATAATAGGAATAATAATATTCTAAACATGATTTCTACTCCAAAATCAAGGATTAAGTAATTGAATTACTTACGTTGATGTTCCTCCCTTCTTGCTATCAAAACAATAAACACGTTAGTAATCTTCAAGAAAGATTAAATCAACAAAGTAAGTAAATCAAATAATAATTGAAATATAGATTTTGGACCAAATCCTCAGAACTTTTGATTGGGGAAAGTATTAAGGATGTGTTTAGGCTAGGCTAAGAATATGAAGAATCAAGAGAGAGAGAGAATATTAGAGAGGGGTATTGATGATGATTGTTAGTGATTGAAAACGGGGTGATACGACCTCTATGTATAGGGAAAAAAGAGAGTCGAAGCATCAGAAAAGAGTTAAAATTTTGAACGGAATAAAACAGGTTCCATCGCGGCGCGACAGGAGTATCGCGGCGCGACGGGGTCCATCTTGGCGCGATGGTGCTATCGTTCTGTGATGGTTTTCTAAAGATTAGATTCCGCACGGAGTTTAACTTCCAATCAGATTGGGTTAATAAAATATCCGCACGTATTTTATTTTGACCGGGATTACTATTATCAAAAAAGATGTTTTATTCGGCATCGAATTCTTTAATCCTTTACTTTCGAAGAAAGGATAAATTAGAACCTTTTAGAGGATTCTAGAAGCTCATAATAACTCCTAATTGGTTTAGGATTGGGATTAAGGTATTTGGACCCTCCACATGATCATTGGGTCGTAGATAAGGTGGAACTAAGTCCGGTTTGGGCTCGGTTTAGTATTTTGGCCATAACTTATTCGTTTTAAGTCGGATTTGGGCTTATAATATATCGTTGGAAAGCTCTTTTCAAATCCCATCCAATTAAACAAAAATTGGACCAGGATCATGGACCAAAGTAATCTGGTTTGGACGTTTTTATGACCTGGACACGAAATGAATGATTTTTAAGGACACGAAATGAATAATTTTGGGTTTTAAAACACGAAATGAATGGTTTTAGATTAAAACATTTTAGGAAAGGTTAGGGATATGGTCAAGGCCTAAGGGAACTTCACGAGACTCTTTAACTCTTTATCGAGCTCCTTAATCAAAGACATGAAAGATACTCGTCTCTAGGTTGGTTTTTGGGGAGACACAATCAGGTGTTTATAGTAACACCCCCAAATTACTCTCCAATAATAATGATTACAAAACATGATTAAGAGAATAACTTAGGAGCATTACCGCCACGTGATTACGTAAGAGTTTAAAACAAAGACTTGTAACAGAAGAAATACATAATTAACTTTCATTAATTAATTGAAAATGGAAATAGTTTTTAAAACATAATCGAAATGGTACTCATACTAGAGTTCATAATAGTGAACCTAAACTAGGTGATTTCTCCCTTCGTCCCCGATGCAACATTTAGATCACGTTGAGTCATCATCATCACCTAACTACTCATCATAAATGATAAGTAGGTCCAAGAAAAAACAAAAGAGGAATGCACGTTAGCGAAACGCTAAGTACATACAAGTGCTAAACAAGTAAAATTAATTTAGTTGATTATACATTCTTTCGAAATATATAATTCTCATAAAACATGGTTATTCGAACCTTCCGTAATCAAGATTTCATATTTTGGGAACACTCCAATTTTAAAATTCTCTAAAGTATTTTTCATTAGAGGTAGAATAAACAACCATCTTTTAAACCATTTTCCCAACCTAAGTGTGCGCATCTCTCAAGCTAGTAACTCATTTACATAGTCTATACTCGAGGAAATACTAGATCATACAAAGTTCATAACCTTATCAATTATCTTCGCATAGTGGTCAAGAAAAATCCGATAAATTGATACGTGTCGTTTAGCGTATTAAATTTAAAACCTATCTTTAACCTTCAAAAATATAAACAACTAGTAAAAGGGTAAGAAAGGGTCGATCCCACGAAATACATATAATACAGCTATATACCTATTTACATATATAAGAATGAAAGGAATACTATTTACACTATGTACATAAGATGGGGGGTGTTTAAGGATCATAGACCATAAAGTAAACGAACTAAAACGATAACTAGTCTAATATTTACAAGTGACAAACAAGTCACCAACATAGTTGAAGTTCGATCATTGATAAAATTAGACACAAATTAACCTCTTATTTCCATTCCTTTAGTCTCACTCAATACTCGGTTTAGTATTTAGGTTGCCGGATTTTTGCCGCGGACTATCCGGTATTTTGCTCACTAAACTAGTAGAATCTTGCTAAAATATTACCAACCCAATAAACAACTTTTATTGATCAATTCATGCACTTAATATAATCAACATGAGCCGCTCACACTAATTAAAATTAAGTCGTTCACTCTAAATTACTATCAAACGCCGTGTCTAACAATAATCTAGCTAGTTTAATTACTTTATAGATGTAATTGTATACTATGACACATACAAAGATTAAACCTTCAAATTAAACAAAAGATCATATGAATTGAATAAATGCCAAACTCAATATTAAAGTACTAATAAATTCAGCGTTCAATAGTGAGACCAAAAATCATGAAAAATCAAAGACAAAATTAAATCCAATTAACAAGTATAATTGAACAAGTTTAATCTAACAAACTAGATAATCAAGGATTAAAGTAGGAAGAAACTTATGAATTAGAATTACACCAAGGTAGCCGCTACACTCGATCCTATGACAATTTCGAATACTCGCCTCCAATAATCCTCGACACCGTAGCTCTTCGATCACCCTTGTACTATAAACTCGATCTCACTACCCTTAATATTGTGATACTGGTTGTTTGTAATTGGGTAGAAGGAGTCCCAATTTATACAATTGGTAACTAAGATCCGTGATGAGCAAGGGAGATAATTCCCAAAATTGATTAAAAGAATTATGACAATAAATTGTCAAACTTGCCATATTAAAAAGCTCGTGATTTGTAGATTGAGATTGTGTTGCTGATTTCTTGAGAATTTTTAGAGTGAAGAGGAGGAAAAGAATAAGAGTATTATTTCCTTATTCCGCAACTTGGTTTTGGCCATGAGGAAGACTTAGGAGTTGTTTACCTAGCCTCTTTCTTCTGTGCGTGTTATTGGCTGAAGGAAGAAGTGAGTAGGCTTCATATCTCTTTTTCGTTTCTTTATTTGCACATAATATACTGCAATTGTAGCCCATATAATCTAACAACATCAAATTATATCAATTAAGTTCAATAATCAATAAAATTATATCGTTGCTAAATATTACTCATGAAAATGTATATGTAGAAAAAAACTCAATATAATAAATAAAAGACGACTATAATAATAAAATTAGGGAATAAAAATATGTACAGTGCACTTATCATAAATATTGATAAGTCAACCTTCCAATTCCCATGTATAGGATGATTTAGATAATAACATTTTCTTTTTAAACAATTTGGCAACCAATGTAAGATTACAAACGAGCTTATAAAGCATTTAAACATTTAAGATCAAACAATTGTTTTTATTGAAACATGCTCATATAATTTATTTTATAAGCATTTATAAATCATTTTTCGACATTCAAACATAATTCATCATTCAAAACATAAAACACATTTATATATAAAATCATATAGTTAAAGATCTAGCCACGAATACGTACCTTGATCTTGCACACAAGTACGAAACTCCTAATTACGAACTTGAATTTCCTCTTATAATAACCAATAACTCTTATTCAAGAACTCTCCAACAATAAACTTAAAGACATAAATTAAAATATCGATTATACCTAGTTGTGCATGAACAATTTAACCCTTTTTGTAAAATTAATATTTGCTTTTATAAACTAATCTTTAATAAAAATAATAGGTAGTTAGTACGGAGTAGTACATAGGTAAATAGCAGTAGTACCAATAAAACTAATAATAATAATAAAATTATTAAAAGTAATAGTTGTTGTATGTTAGTTGTAGTGTAGTACTTACGTAGGTATCAAAAAACTCTCTCGTTTATTATAAAAAAACTCTCTCGTATAGGGGCAATTAGGGCTAGGTAGCTAGGTTAGGCTTCCACGTCATTATTTCGGCAGCATCTCCGGCACAGGGTTTGGTCAAGCAAAGGGTCCGGTGAGTCGAAGGTTTCCATGTCAATTTTTTGTCAAATTTTCGTCGAAGTTCAGGCGGTTTCAGGGCAATTTGCTAGCAGAGGCAAGTTCCATGTCCATATCCCGACCATTTTTCCGGCGCTCATAGGTCCGGCAAAGGGCTCCATTTTCCGGCGGTTTCATTTGCATTTGGGGGCTTTTTTAAGGTGTAATTTTAGGCGATCATCTTGTTTTTGGGTGCAGTTTCAAGGCGTATTTTGGTGGTTTTTTGGTCCGATTTTCAAGCAGTTTTACATGATGCTAATAGACGTCGGCAGCAGGATAGCAGCGTCGCTTGCACCTTCTGTTTTCAAGCGCATTCCTCTAGTGTTTCAGGCGCATTATTTTGGTGTTTCTGCTGCTTTCTTTGGGTGTTTTGGGTGCATTTTTGGGTGCAATTTTGGGTGTTATATTCAGGGGGCAGCAGAGGTTTACTAGCTGTCATTAGGCAGCGGGTTTTGGTCGGTTTCTGGGCAGTTTCGCGACAGGTTTTTTATTAGTTTCAAAAAGGTTTTTGGCTTACTTTTCGTGCAGTTTTTAGTGTGCTTTGGGGTCAGTTTTGTGGGTGTTTTTGGTGTGCTTTGGGTGCAATTCAGGCGGCAGATTTTAGGAGATGGCAATGTGTTTGCAACATGCAGTTACCAGTCAGTTTGGGTGCAGTTTTCTTGTTTTATTTTTGCTTAGTTTGGGGTCAAGTTTGTAGCGAGTGTGGTGTAGTGAGTTTGCTCAATTTTGGCGGTTGTTAGGGGTTTAGGGGGGTTCGATCATGCCTCCTATTGTTCGTTTTCATTGCCCTTTGTGGGTCTTAATGGATGTCATGATGGTGGGGGTAATGGGCTCACAAAAAGTTATTTGATAATTCATCTCCATAACCGTCATTGTTGTGCGGATGCGCGAGATATGTCCCAAACTCTCTCTTACCTTCTTTTTTGGCTATTTTCTCAAAGGTTGAGACGACCTTTCGTCGTATGGGCATTTGTGTTTGTGGGGATTGTTTCAAGACTCATTCTCATCGTTCTAAGTGTCGGCATGGGCCTGGTTCTGATTTTGTGGCCCCACCTGATTCCGGGGATGGTGTTGTACGATTTGTTATTCACGGTTTTCCTAAACCGCAAGGTCCTTCTTCGGAGGTATCCGATCTTGTTCCTAGTGTGCCTCGTGACCTTCTTTTGCTTTCGATGTTGCTCTCCTTGATAGTATACTATCTTAGCGGTTTCGTTCGGTGAAATCTATCCCTCCTAAGTGTTGCTTGGGTTTTTCACGGGTTCTCAAAGGAGCGCTTAATAAGGTGATTTGCAAGCCTGATGACATCTCTTGTTCCGTTCAATTTCTTGTGTTTCCTCTTTGTGTCCTTAAAACCTTTTCTCCACGGAGTAATCGTGAGTGTACTTCGGCTGTCAGATGATAACGGCAGGAAGAGAGTATCACATATGCTATTCGTTCTTGGTGTGAGCCTGGTGGTTCTATACAACTTGTGCGGGACACATTAGCTGATGTGTCTCCACCTTTGTTGGATGCTGATAAGGACCATGATTTGTCTGAGCATAATATTAAGCAATGTAAGAGAAAGATTTGTGACGGAAATTACACTGCTGCAGTCAGGGTTCTTTTGTCTTTTGGTCTTGCCCTTTATAATGACGCTACTCTTGCAGTGTTACAAGCTAAACACCCTTCCTTTCCAGCTCCTACCTTACCGGATATCCCCGTTGATCATCACCTTATTGCTAATCTTGCCGTTGTTTTGGACTAAATTAGAGGTTTTTCGTGTGGTACGTCCTGCGGTAGAGACGGCTTGCGTGCTCAACACCTTATGGATTGCTTGAGTGGTGCTGCAGTTGCTGCTTCTGATGAGTTGATGGACTCTATTGCGCAGGTGGTTAATCTCTTTCTCGCTCGGAAATGTCCTGCTGAGTTGGGAGAATAAATTAATAGTGCTCGTCTCACGCCACTTGTTAAGCCTGGTGGTGGTATGCAATCACTTATAAAAGTTTTCTTTAGAGATTGCACAATAACACGCTGAACATCCGTCTGCCCATGTTAGAGAACTCCAAGGTCATCAAATAACGAACTAATCTCATTTTTCTTCTGTCAACTTTTCACCTTTGAGAACAGTAGTTTAGACGGGCAATCTCCTTTCAGTATCCAGTTTTTCTTGCAACGTTGACTCTAGAACTGTAGCTGCAATAAGATACTCTCCTTTGAAGTAACTATAATTTTCATATAGAGAGAGGCATCAGTAACCGACTAAAGTAACTCTCCCTCATTGGAAAGATCCTTCAGAAAAAATTTCCAATCAACTCCCCAAAATTTCTTATTGCCGAGACACCAATTCTTGACTAGTGACTTTACATGTTCCAGATTCTTTGAGAGAATGAACATTGGTGAGTCAGAGATGTTTCTTTGCCAAGTAGTGAGGACAAAGTCATGTATTTCTTGAAAGTTTAGACACCAATTGTCCAATTGATATGGACGATTTGACTGTCTTTGAAACGGGGAGTCATCAAAGAAAATAGTAGCATGATCAGAAATGAGAATCGATTGATTGAGTAAATGACTATTAGGATAGTAATGAAACCAATCAGATGTCGTGTAGGCCCGATCCAGACGATGTAAAATGAGTTGATCAGCATCCCTATCATTCGTCCAAGTATAGGGAGGCCCCTTGAAGGGAGTTGCAAGTAAACTAGACTTAAGTCTAAAATCAATAAAGGAATCCCAACCCTTAATGACATTTGACCCACCCAACCTATCTTAATGGTGCTCATTTTGATTAATATCTCCAATAATCAAGTAATTAGGAGCAATAGCAAGTAAATCTAAAATCAAACCCCAAACTTGAGGTCTATCTTCAAGAACAGGAGCACCATAAACAAACATCACATATTTACTATTTCCATAGTAAGCTTTATATTACAAAGTACAACATTTGAACAACAAAAAACCGCAAGAGACTACCTCCGAACCATAACCAAAAACCACTAAACCCCCGCTAGTTCCTACCAAATCAACCCCAAAAACCGAAGTAGGACTAGTAAAACTAAGAAAGCTATTCACAACTGAAACGAAAAATTTAGTTTCACACAAAAATAAAAGGGAAATTCTCTTTGGTAACATCAAATTTTTTATTTTTCTCAATGGTGAATTATAAAAAAATCTATTATCATTGGTAACACCAAATTTTTTATTTTTCTCAATGGTGAATTATTAAAAACTCCAATGAGTGAATTATTAAAAACTCTATTATCATTGGTAACATCAAATATTTTATTTTTCTCAATAGTGAATTATAAAAAAATCCATTATCATTGGTAACATCATATCATTGATTACCAATGATAATAACTATTTTAATTAAAATCAGTAACCATGGTATTTTAATTAAAAAAAATCTCTCCAGTAGACCAGCCACTTCCTCCCCCTTCCCCTCCACTGCCAGTCCGGCGTCCCCCATCCCCACCAGCATTCGGCGTCACCCCTCTTCTCCGAATCCGATAGCTTCTCGAATACCGAAAAGTCGTTTAATTTCCTTCTAAACAGAGCCACACAAGCGGAACAAGTCATACCAATAACAAAAAACAAAGCTTTGGATTCTGAACCTTCAATCTTCTCCTTCTCTTTCGGCGAAACGCCTTTCGGGTATTTCGGCATCGACGGGTAGTGAGGCCTCACCGATAAATGTCTTGCTCCACTCACTCCGCAAGCACGCTTATGTCAAGATTTTGGATGTCGTCATTGATGAAAATGTCTGGGCTGGAAATGAAAAAGGGCTTCCTTCCTTCCTTCCTTCCTTAATCCCTAGAATCTCGAATTCTCCGTCTCACATCTGTAGATTACGAAACAAGTTTTCATTCATTCTTCGTTCTTTCAGATCTGTTATTTGTTTCTTCTTCTGATCAAAGCTAAGGTTCCTTTCTTATTATGCAGTTGAGCTCAAGAAGCAGATATGCTCTTCTCTTTATTTAACCAACAAGACCGATAACTATATCAATTTAGGGAAAGGGGAGGGGGTGGTGGGGCTGGGG